AACTTTCACGCTAACTACCTAGATCTATTATACTCAATCACACTCTTAAACCCTAGCTCTCTTCTTTTTTTTACCAAGCCTCAATATTCTAATTACTCAAATACTTTTAATTTTTCAACCTGGTTCTGTCTTCAATATGTTGCAACATATTGCAAACCACAATAGTAACTTTAACAATTTTACCTTTTACACTGATGGCTCTGTCATAAATATAAGAAACCCCAATACTCTATGAGTATTGGCTGGTTACAAATTAACAATCATAATACAACATACATTTCAAACCCAAATTGAACTCTGGCCCTGCTTCTTTAAAGCTGAACTTCTTATAATATTGTTAGCTATTAGCACAGTTTTATAAAACTTTACTATTTATATTTATACTGACTTACAATCAGTGATCTCAAAATATAACAGCCTCTTATACTCTACTAAATCAGCAAACTTTTTAAATACTTCATACTGGTCTATCTGAAAAACATTTTTAAACTTTTGTTCTTCATCTAACCTTTCAATTATCTTTCATAAAGTTCTAGTATATCAAAAGAATAAATTTAACAACAAAGCTGATAAACTAGCCCATAACCACTCTAATGCACCAATTCTTGCTTTTAACCCTGGCAATATATACAATGCTTAATTCATTTTTCTCTTTAACAGCTTCCCTCTAGAGCTCCCTGTCTAGTGTAGTATTCGAACTATTTGCAATGCAAATATTCTTGCATATTGGTCCTCCCAATATTGATTCTAATAATGGTCTTCTCTTTTCCAGAATATTCATTGGAATGCTACCTGCTCTATCTTAATAACAATCAAAAAGTTTTAAACTTCATGTATAGCTTTCAATTATCAACACTTAAAATATTTAGAGTTAAACTATTACTTAATAACCTTCTATCTCTATATATTCTTTATAAAAAATATACTTTTTATCCTAATTCTTGCCACATATGCCAACAACCTACCGAAGCACTATACTGGGTATTCTGCTTTTCTTCAGACTTAATATTAAACCTCCTTAACATATCTCTACAATATATTCTAACCTCCTAGTAAACTTCAAATCTTACAAACCCAAACACAACATCTCTTTAACCAAATTAAAAACCTTGATGGCTTACAAATTCATTCTTTTACTTTTAAACTATTACTGTTCTCTACTATTACTGGTCTTCTTTTAGCTGATATTATAAACACTTTACAAGATTATATTTTTTCTAACAATCTTGTCTGCTCTCTTACCATTCAATTTCTTCTTCATTTTAACTAACAAATTTATACAAATATCTGGATCTCTTACTGCTTCTCCAGATCACAATCTAACCTTGCTTCTAGCAATAATAGCAATACAACTTCTGCTAACTCTATCATATTTCCTTTAAACATAACTTCTTTATTTGTAAATTTTTTAAACTTACCTATATCTAATCCACTTTATAAAATAGAAACTTGGTATTCTAACTGGATCAAATTCTCATTACACCCTTCTCTTATTCTTACCTATCTTCAATCTAGGTAAGCCTTGGCCACTCTGGTAAGTTTAGGCTACAGATAAGTATTTAGGTTTACTTAGATATATGTCTGAGTTCTTTTTTTTTAGTTTTAGATTTAAAAAATAAAACCTTTTTCGATTATATAAAAAGTTTTTGTTAAATCTAATAAAAATAAGAACATGGTCTCACCTTTAATATTAAAAAAAAATATAAATTTGTTAAAATAGATTTAAATAAATAATTAATTTTTTAAAAAATAGTTTATTGATTTTTAAAATAGATTAAATATTGTAATATAGCAGCTAGTATAAAATTTTTTAATAAACTATTTAAATTAGACAATTAAAAGTTGTATATATAGCTAGTTATACTTTTATTATTGTTAATATTTATGTATTATATTTCAAATATGCTAATAAAATCTGTTACAAGTAATAATTATATATATAAAAATTGCTAATTTTAATTAATTAAAATGTTATATTTCAAAACATACTAATTAATTAGAATCAAGATTCAAAGTAAAAATATTTAGTTTTAATTTTAATTAAATTTGAATCTTGATATCTAACTAGTACTTGGCAAAATCAAGTAAAAACTTGATTTGCAAGTTTTTGAATCTATTAATTACAATATTATATTTTAATTACAAAATCTATTTTTACTCTAATCTGACTTTAACTTTTATAATAAGTTAGTACGAAGTCTAAAGTAAGATCAGATACCTGTTAGATTTATATATTTACTAAAAATAAAATTTATATTTAATGCCCAATATCATAAATTGATAAATTCAAAAACTTGAGAATCAAGTTTTTGTTTGATTTTGCCATGCACTATATCTACTTTTTTAAATTGCACTTTAATCTTTAAAATATATGAGAAAATTTACCCAAGTAAATAAAATAATTTTCTAAATATAGTCTAACCTCTCTATAGTCACCTTGTATATAAGCATATTTTCTTTATAAGTATATTTTTTTAAAAACAAACTATAGTCAAACCCTCTATAATTATACACCTGGGATACAAAAATTTATTATATTTAATAATAGTTTTTTTTTAAAAAAATATACTTATAAAGAAATATAGAGAGGTTAGACTGTATTATTAAATATAATAAATTTGACCTCTATAACTGTCACACTTCTTTACAATCACCTATTTTTGTATTCCAAGTGTGTGATTATAGAGAGGTTTGACTGTATATTTTATATTATTGTCCGGAGCGAAACGGAGGACTTATATGTTCAAGTCATTAGCCAATTTTTGTCTGTCTGTCCACCCACGTGATCATTGTCCGGAGCGTAGAGAAGGACATTTAATGGACGAGTAAAGTACATCAAAAATAGCGTTTTTGATGCATATGGATGTCTGTTCGCACACGTGACAAAAATTACGTTTTTGATGCATAACTATATTCGATAATTTATTCGCTCCGGACTTACAACAGTTTCTTAAAACTGTTTCCTAGTTTTATTATACTTTTTTACAACTAATTTTTTTTTTTTTGTATATAAAATTTTATAAAAAAAATAATATAACCTTTTTTAAAATATTCAACAAGATAAGCAAGATCTTGAAACTACGTAAAATCTAATCGAGTAGTTTAACCTCATCTTTGATATTTATTTCTTAAATGCAGTTGTTTGTCACTACGCGCCTATTATATTAATGTAACATATGATAATCAAGTCACTTGGTATTTGCTTTGATCTTTTTATTTACTATCTAACCTGATAAAACGTGTTTTAAACGCCATCCTAAAAATATTCATTATTGCGTCACGATCACGAGAATCAATCCAATAGAATTACGAGATCAGATGTGAATAAACAAAAATCGCTTGTGACCAAAATTTAAAGCGTGAGCATACATTTCACATATCGCACAACTTGCGAAAGATGTTTATTTAGGTCCCTCACGGGATAAAAATTGTATAATATAAAATTTACCGATGCGAAATGATGTAAGAATGACGCGGAAGGCGCATCTCCAATTTTGACTAAGGAATTGGCTTCTGTGCTCTAGTGAAAATATTTGTCATGAGATTTAGATTATGTAGATGCATCCCATTCTAATTTTAAACCAATAGAAGATGCATTTTCATTAAAGCTTTGAATTTACGCGAAGCATATTCACGCGACCTGATAAAAGTACGTGCGTACGTATGTATATTGCTGGCAGAAGTATTGATTGTAACAATCACATTAATTAAATGGCTGTTGTGTCATATTTAAATATAGACATATTCTTTAAGTTAAACGTTGTGATAACATAAATGGAAACGCCGAATACTTTTTTTCTGCACTGTACGTACATACGTGCGTACGGTACGTATTCATGTACCAATCTACCTATCTACTGGACAATGATATGTAGTGGTAGAAATATTTATACAATTAATAATGTGATTATTCGTCACGTTCTAATCAACTTCCTTTTCGTGAGGTTACGAGATACAATTATTGTGGAAGACTTATGGATAAGAAGCACAGTGCTTTAAGATTTACGTTAAACCAGTACTGTATTGTATACCTTGAAGATAATACCATATAGTATTATCTTTAAGATCCCTATAACAATACTAATTTAACGTAAATTATGGATGCGCCCTCAACAGCATCGATTTTTTCACTTCTAAACAGTTTGAATACTCAATAAATTTAAAATTTAAAGTACGGGTTATTGTTATTATGATAGTTCCATAAATGGCAAGACGGCATTTTATGTACGTACGTACGTACGTATGTACCCAAAAGTTATTCTTCAGATGTTGAGTATTCATTGAACTCTAAAATTCATATTTGCACTTTAAAGTGATTATATCATACCCATACATTGTTATATGATCTTTCAAGCAAACTTTCCCGTATCGAAATGAAATACCATTAACAGGAAAGCTTTGGCAATAAAGTCAATGAAAATTATAGTAGTATTGATGAAGAGGAGATTATGAGAAGGGGTGGATTTTATCAGCAAGATCAGAATATGGGATTTTGTGAAATGTAATGCAAAAATCTACATTGATGTACATACGTACGTACGTGCTTACTATTGCTCTACGTACGTACGTGCTTACTATTGCTCTATTCAGCAGTACAAATTAAAATCTGTATTGATGAATGGAGTCTATATGTATTATTAAAAGGTATTAACTTAACTCTTACATAAATGTAAAAAAAAAAAAAAGGCTTAATTAAAACAGTTCCGAATAAAAATGAAATCATAAATTTAATAATTCTTAAATCCCTCCATAACCAAAAAAGTGCGTTAAATATAAAAATTAATGTTAACCATAAAAATTAATGTTAACCATAAAAATTAATGTTAACCATAAAAATTAATCATACAAATTAATGTTAACCATACAAATTAATGTTAACCATAAAAAAAAACAAACTTAAGTTGACCATAAAAAAAAAATCTTATCCCTTGATTATACTGATATTATAGACGCTTAAATTATCCCTTGATTATACTGATAATATAGACGCTGTATTTTTTTTAATTAATTATATTTTCAATACTGTACGAATTATATTTTTCTGTTTCAGAATTTTTTTCGAAATTAGTAGATTCATCCACATCGCTCGTATTATTTGTATCGATTAATTCACCGCTACTCGATTGTGCAGTGCTTTTGAATTTTTCAGCTTCGTTTCGTAAAGGAATGTTAGCTCCTTGTTTTACAAAGCATTTAGTGAGTTGAGAACATTCTATAAAAATGATAAAAATCGGTAAAATTATTAAAAATAGTTGAAAATTAGAGAAAACATATCACAGTTTCTTACCAACAA